ACGGTCAGACTTCAGCTGGGTATCAGCCTGATCTTTTAGCAGTGCCATCCTAAACCAAGTTATACCCCTTTAAGCCTACTGACACCAATGGACTTATAAAGGTGTAACTTGGCTTAGGAGAGAACTGTAAGTTCAGGGTAAATGGCTCTGGAGGACCACTAGTGACCACGAATCAGCAGATCCAAGTGGTCCCTGTGCTGCTAGCAGCACTGGAAGGGCCCCTCAACTCGACTTTCTCCAGGTGTTTCAACATCCCAACACAGCCCTGGTTTTACCTCTGTGGGACAGTGTGGATGATGGATCTGGTTTTGCTTATGATTACATTTTTCTCCCCTAAAAATTCCATTGGAACTTCCTGCACAAGCAGGCTTGCTTGTCTGCTATGAAAAAGGAAACATTTTGAAATACAGAAACATTTCTAGAAACCTGTTCATACCAATCTCTGAATTTACAAAACTGAATAAAACAAGACAGGGGCGCGCTGTTAACAAGTGTAAAGGAATCACTTGACTTTCTGTTTCGTTGTTTACTTTCATCATCTGATTTGGGGAAAATGAGCTTAGATCTGGGACATTCATCCATCAATGAGGACAGACATAAAGGAACGAAGAAATTTGAACTGTTCACAGGAAATCAGACCTAATACAAAGAACAAAGGTTCTAACTATCCTTCAGAGAGCTTCTGTGCTTGAAAAATGAATTTCATCCCATTGTGGCATGGGTTTTTGGGCAGCAGTTCAGCCGCCTGCAGTGGAAAACCCCTGAATCAGATTCAGGTGAAACAAAGACAGCATTTCTGAACTCCAGTATTCTTAGATAACTGAAGTTTAAAATGTTATGGGCATGGCCGTGAAAATATAACTCTGCTTCATACCAACTCAGATCACTGGACCATCTTGTCCAGCATTATCTATTTTGACTGGCAGCAGTTCTGAGGCAGAGCCTTCTGAGATCACTTAAACAGAGACCAACAGATTCTGAATCTGGGACCAACGGCATGCAAAGCATGTCTTCTACCAATGAGCCACAGCCCTCCCTAAAAGTCATCTCTAATAGTAATATACTAAAACCAAGAGAAAGAACTGTTGTTCATCATGGGATGCAATAGAAGGGTGGACCTGTGGGTGGAACTATGTATAGGACAGCACAGCAAGATTGTAGGTAGCCACTTGGGTCCATAAAAATGGTTTCCAAAAGAAAAGACTGGAGCGCATGTGAAATTAAATCTGCCATAAAACGAACCTGATTTGTTTTCAGTGTCATCAAATTCCACACTAGTGGAGTGTCCATTGTTAAGAATGACTTTAGCAGACGTAGGATCATAGTTAGGTCTGAGAGGACGCAGAGTGGGGTCATATTTCGTGTCTTGAGTTCGGATATCAATGGGAGATTGACGGTCTCCATTAGCAATGGGGAAGACTTCCTTCCAATGAGAAGGTCCTAAAATATATTCAGTAAAATAATTGTTCATTACAATATATTCCAAACAGTCACAGAAACAAAGGAATTGTCATATAAGAAAATAACCACAAGAACCTACCTTGATTTTCTTATTTCTTAAAAAAAAGTTTCTTATTTCTTAAAAAAAATAGTATTCAGATTATTAAAAAAGAAACAGCCGGATTGAAAGAGATGCAAAGCACACCATCCGGTTGTCTTTGCTGAGCTATTGGACAGATCTTTACTCAAGTAAGTCTTAATTCTAATACATTAAATACCCAAAGATGAGGGTTAGAACACTAGGTTGATCATTTTCTGCCTACTTCCAGGCATTCTGGTCATTAGGAATGCAGCAGGCACCTGCAAATTGACACACATGCAATAGATTCAGAGAACATTCATCCACCAGCTGATTAATGTGTCATCCCCACATCTAAAATGATTCATTCTAATTCAGTATCATTATCATCAAATCATACTTTAATATCCTAATTCTGTGGCAGCCCAGGTAAGCAACTGGACCCAGGTAGTTAGGTTTGATTTCAGTAAGGCTCAGAACTGGGCCTTCCCCCATGTTAGTAACTGGTAGTAGCACTGTCATGATAGAAAAAGATAGCTAGTGGCAAGTCTTGGTTCCTCGGTACCTTAAACTGAGTCTACCAAGATGTACTTCGACTGGAAATGGCTCTCAAGTGTTTTGGGAACGGGTTTTTTGCATCTCCTACTACCTGTTCCTTTTAACTGTGGTTGGGAACTGAACCTGATCCTGGGGCTTTCTTCTCACAGCTGTCTGTGTTAAACCTCTACCTTACCTCACAGAACTATAATTCTTGGGGCTCTTTGAGGAGGGGGATACCTGTTAAACCACCTCAATCTGTGGCTACATCCACCAGTGCTAACAGTACATTTTTAGGTGCTTTGGAAACCAGGATTTAGAATTTTTCGGGCCTTGCACAGTAACTCGTAATACAAAAAGCCAAATAACAAAAAGTACCAGCTGAGATTGTTGGCACGGCTTTACAGCAAACAAAGATATCCTCTTCTGTGCAAAACAAATGGATAGCAGAATGGGTGATGAGACAAACATCTATATGGGCTTACTGTTATTCTGGAATAGGAAGCCACCTTCTCCTGAACTGATCAAAGCCATTCTAATTATATGGAACAGATTTATCAGCTCAAAACTCTAATATCACATCACTAAAATAGTACCGTCACTAAAATAGTACCAAAGCTCCATAGAGGTCTGAGGCACCCATCAAACATCCTGAAAGCAGGGATCCCACACTGGGTAGATGGAGAACCAGGCTGGCAATGAGGCAAATGGAAAGCCTCTACCAGCGTAACATTCCTATTGGCACGTGGGAATGCTGCATGTCAGCGGAGTAACAAAACAGTCTGTAGGTCTTGATGTTAGCTGTGTATCTATTGAGTTGGCAGAGGACGTATCCTCCATACACAGCCACAGAGTTACGTGTCTTTATCTTTGATGCACAGCTTGCTTAGCAGACGTCATCTGTCCTGCTGTTGTATCAAGATTAGATCAGGGCAACTTTAACCTACTGCGAATGTCCCATTTGCAAAGCTGTTTTTGCTGTGTACATAGAAGGTAAAAGGTAGCAATTTGGAGTAGATTATTGGTGCATCCTGGAAAGTATTTCTCAGCATATTTTATTTATTTATTTGTTTAATTTGTATCCCGCCCTCCCTGCCAAGGCAGGCTCAGGGTGGCTTACAGAAGATATATATAAATATATTAAAACAGCGAGATACGTTAAAACAAATGATATAAGTTAAAACCACAAACATATACAGACATAGGTGCTAGCGAACATAAAGAGTAATAAGTGATGGCGGCGTTCTCTCAGCATCTAGATGGTCAACTGCCACCATAGTCTGAGTTCTTGCCAGGCTATTGGCTATTGAGTTGGTGCTGATGTTGGGGCCAGGGCCTCAATGTTAGGAGGTGGCACCCTAATCGAAAGCCTGGAGGAAGCTCACCAGCCGATAGTATCCTAAGCTCATCAGCCCCTAGCATGGTAAAGCGCCAGCTTCTACAGGCTACAGCACAGAGGGGGAACTTAAGGGGGGAGGGCAGATTACACCAAGGCGTGGGAGGACAGATATATAAATAAAAATCTTACCCATAAAGATGAACTGACTGAATCATACCAAAATTTGAGTGCAGTAGCACCTTAAAACAAAATTTTTCAGGATAGGTATCTGACAAAATCAATTTAGACTCACAAAAGATTATTCCCTGGAAAATTGTGTTAGTCTTCCAGGCATTACTGCACTCCAGATTTGTACTGTTACTACAAACACTCATGTTGAACTGGGTTGAACAAGTCTTCATTCTAGAGATCTAAACAGATAACCCCTCACCTGATTTTAAGGACTATGAGGGTTGCTGAATGCTCACAAAGACTTCCTGTGTCCCCACTACATGATCAGCACCCATTAAGCAGAACCAATAATCCTTGTTGAGAGCAACAGCTGTCTCCGAGCAGCTGATCTTTCCCAACTGGTCATGATCTAGACTGTCTGCACACGTCTTAATACACCTGTATCGGGCACATAGTGGCCACTGACTCTCATTCATACAGCTGAACAACTGGTAGTGTTTCTCACTTCACCTTCTTTCCATGCCTGGGGAATACTAGAGCTGGGGTGGTCAGCCCCTCCCCCCCATCCTAAACCACAGTACATCCAACCATTTTGTTCAGCATAGAGGGCCAGTTGTCATTCCCCCTACCCAAACAGATAGCTTGTTTCTCCCTTCTCCACCTTGGTTTGCAGGCACATCTAGTACAATTCTCCCTTCTCCACTTTGGTTTGCAGGCACACCAACATTTTCACAGATAGACATTGAAGGGGTTTGGGGCACTCAAGCCAGAAAGTCCTAGAAGGCTCAGAATACATATGGGCAGAAACAGAACTGAAATCAATGGGAATCACAGCTACTACCTAGCAACCCCAGATGTCCATACATCTGGATTTTTTAAAAAAATAAGAAGAATGTGCAGCAACTACCTTCAGCCTCTCATTTTAATAACCTGTAACTTTAGCCAAATATTTTTATGTTAACAAGTGTGCAATAGCATAAGAGGAAAACCAAAATCTACTTTTGAGTTGTCATTTGTGAAAACCTCTACGGCTGCAAGCCTATGCACACTTTCTTGGAAGTAAGTCCCACTGAATACTAGGGTACTCATAAGATTTGGGCTGGACATTTTGCAAACAAATGCTTGAACTTCTCTGGAGACATCTTTGGATAGCTAGAGCAACTGTAAGAGAAAGGAAGAGAGAGCAGAAGCATACTGCAGAATTTAATGTTTCTTTAATAAAACTATTAATGCAGTACTACAAGGAGGGGGGAAATCAAATTATACAAAACTCTAAGGGTGCTGTATCTTATTTACCATGCAAATATATACTTCCAAAGAGCAACTGCTGTTCCTAGCTTGGTAAGTGTGGAGATCAGTAAGTAAGCTCCTTTTGATCTCCAAGAAGCAGGAACCTATAACTATTAACATGAGTTTCACAGTGTAGCAGTGTGGGTTTGTAGAAGATCAGTTGAGTCCAATAGCACCTCAGAGACCAGCCAAGATGTTCAGGGTATACACTTTGAGAAGTTTGACTCTGGAAAGCCTACACCCTGAACATCTTGTTGGTCTCTGAAGGTGCTACTGGACTTGAACTTAACTATTAAAAGACACTAAAGTCAAGCAACGAAAGTTCCCTTCGAAGTCTACTTGGAAAATTAACAGATCTTGTGATTCATAGGAATCGATTCCTCCCTCTCCCCCCGAACATTTACAAATTAGTTAACTGGAATCTGAAGAAGTGAACTAAAACTTCATCTTGGTTTGGCTGGGTTTGAATGGTTTCCCAGTCCGCCCTCTAAATAATACCAGTCACCCAGCAGTTTAAGCAGCAATCACCAGGACGATTTCCCACAAGCGCTGCTCCACACTCGCTCTTCCCTTTTGCCCCATGGTATGTGTCAATTTCACACAAACTGCTGCGCATTTTGCCCCGCAGTTTCGCGGGATTCCCCCGTCTACTCAATCTTCAAAAAGCAGGATGCGGGAAAATCAGCGAAGCTGCGGGGCAAAATGCGGCCGCACAGCAACTTCTGTGAAATTGACACGTATCATCGGGGCAAAAGGGAAGAGCGATCGGTCCGGGAAAGTTGCCGAGAAGTTTAAAAGTGTAGACAGACATAACAATCTGAGCGGGGCAGGGGCGGCTGAAGACACATTCCGCGCCCAAGGGCTTCCGAAGGCAGCCAGGGCGCGAGTGTTCAGACGACCCCCACCAACTGGGAATGTTACGTCCGTCCTAGCCCGAACAACTTCGCCGCTCGCTTCCCAACTTGCGCGAAGATCCCGGCGGGAAGCAAGCGGGCCACGGCAGTGGGGCTAGGGGACGAACTCACCCCAGCTGCATCCCCCCCTCCCGTCCTCCTGCTCCTATTTCCCCAGAGAGCCGGCGGGAGCTCTCCCCCCTCACCGTTGTCCTCATCGTATCCCCAGTGCAGCATGGCTAGTCCCCTAACTGGAGGAGGAGGATGAAGGCGGTGGTGATGATGTGGATGCAGACAGGCGAACGCCCGGCTCTGCACCGAAAGCCGCAGAAGAGGCGACCAGAGTCTCCAAGAGGCAGGGACCGACCGTGCCAGGGCAGCCCCCGCGGCGCCCTCTTATGCACGGAGCGCCCTGCTGGCGCCGCACGTGGCCGCCCGGAGACCCGGCCTCCAGAGGCCCCGCAGCACCCCCTCCCGGGAGGGTAGCGCCTGTTGTCGTGCAACCAGCTGGCTTTTTTTTGTTTGTTTCTAGGAGCTCATTCGCTCCGACGTAAGACCCGCTGGGTTGCCCGATGGCGCTTATTTCCTCGAAAATAAGTGCGCGCAGGATTCGGACTTCTGCTGAATCGGAGCTGTACCTTCCAACTTTTCGATCCAAACCACAAAGAGCAAGTTCACAACACAAAAGGTGTTTTGCACAACATGCATTTATTTCATTTTTTTAAACTTTTACATAGTGCTTTTTAGCATATTGCTCTCAATAAATGTTATAAACCAGAAAGGCAATAACCATCTATCAATAAATAACAGCAATAAAAAGAGTTGCAGTAATATAACAGGAAAGCCAACAAGAAAATGTCAGCAATAGTGGAGAAGATTTTTTTTTAATGACTAAAATAAGCTGCAGTGCAAAACTGCCCAAAGACAAGACACAATGCAAAAGAAAAAGGCAAGGTCATAAGAACATAAGAACATAAGATGTTGGATCAGGCCAAAGGCCCATCCAGTCCAACACTCTGTGTCACACAGTGGCCAGAAATACCAGTGCCATCAGGAGGTCCAGCAGTGGGGCCAGGACATTAGAAGCCCTCCCACTGTTGACCCCCCCAAGCACCAAGAAGACAGAGCATCACTTGCCCCAGAGCCCCTATCTATACCTTGTGGCTAATATCCACTGATGGACCTCTGCTCCATATGCTTATCTAATTCCCTTTTGAAGCCGTCCATGCTTGTAGCCGCCACCACTTCCTGTGGCAGTGAATTCCATGTGTTAATCACTCTTTGGGTGAAGAAGTACTTCCTTTTATCCGTTCTAACCCGACCGCTCTGCAGTTTCATGGAGTGCCCACAAGTTCTTGTATTGTGAGAAAGGGAGAAAAGTACCTCTTTCTCTACCTGCTCTTTCCCATGCATAATCTTATAAACCTCGATCATGTCACCCCTCAGTCGTCTTTTCTCCAAGCTAAAGAGCCCTAAGCGCTTTAACCTTTCCTCATAGGGAAAGTGTTCCAACCCTTTTATCATTCGAGTTGCCCTTTTCTGCACTTTTTCCAAAGCTATAATATCCTTTTTAAGGTGTGGTGACCAGAACTGCACACAGTATTCCAAATGAGGTCTCACCATTGATTTATATAGGGGCATTATTATATTGGCTGATCTGTTTTCAATACCCTTCCTAATAATCCCCAGCATAGCATTGGCCTTCTTTATTGCAGTCACACACTGTCTCGACATTTTCAGTGAGTTATCTACTACAACTCCAAGATCTCTCTCTTGCTCAGTCTCTGCCAGTTCAGACCCCATCAATGTGTATTTATATTTAGGATTTTTGGCTCCAATGTGCATCACCTTGCACTTGGTCACATTGAACCCCATTTGCCATGTTGACGCCCACTCGCCCATTCTTGACAGATCCCTTTGGAGTGCCTCACAATCCTCACTGGTTTTCACCACCCTGAACAACTTTGTATCATCCGCAAATTTAGCCACTTCACTGCTTACTCCCATCTCCAAATCATTAATGAACAAGTTAAAAAGCAGTGGACCAAGTACTGATCCCTGCGGTACCCCACTGCTTACCACCCTCCACTGAGGTCAATTTGACAAAAGGCCCAAGTAAGTACAGCTTTTGCCTGGCATCCTATTGAGAGGAACTATTTCCATTAGGATGATTCACTGAGCAGAAACTTGGTCTTGGGCACCCTAAGCGACCCCACCATTGTATCCAATAAATTTGGTTGGGGGGCTTCTGTCAAGGGAAATACTTGTTCCTGTCACCTGCCTATTCCTCTGTGTCGCTGCCCCCCCCATTGCTAGCATGCCCAAAGATTTTTCTGTTTCATGTGGTGTTTTCCTCAGTGACCTCTCCTTCCTGCCCCGTTTTAATTGTTTTGATTGTTGGTTTTGTGCTTTTATATATGTCTTTTACTTTTGCTTTTATGATGTGTTTTAATGCTTTTAAAATTCGTTAGCCATCTTGGTGGCTCTGATGCAGGCTACAAATTTTGTAAATAAAATAAAATAAGAACTCCACACACCTGTAATTACAGAACTGATTACTCATAGAAGTGAGCCCAACCACATACTGTTCCCACTTTGGGGATCTTTAGAAGCTTCTTCAAGGTTCCTCAGCAAAAAAAAAGCAGCAGCTTTCCAGGGTGAAAGTAACTGATGTTTCTTACTGGGAGATGCCACTTTGTCCACTTTTTATACTGATATTCTGTACTAGCCCCTACCGGCTTATTTTTATGCCTGGCATCTTGCCCAGCAGCACCAGTATTCCTTATAATGTACAACTGCAGGGGTGTACTTAGTGTGTTTCAAGGCACTGTCAGTACATGAAGGGTTAGCCAGCAGTGATGGCCAACAGGTTGTGTGACAGGGGGTACGTATCCTGGACCATGATCCAAGGTCCTCTGGAAGTTGTAAAGAGGGTGACTGATGGATGAGGGACAAGGTCACTCAGTGGACAAATTGATGCAGAAAGTTTTCTCTAGGGCACTGGTGTTGAATGCTCCTAGGCCGAGGACTCCCTGAGCTGTAAACATGTGACAGGAAGTCATGTGGCATCAGGGCCATGTCACATGAAATAGAAGCCAGCATTAAGAGCTGCATATAGGAAACACAAGTTGCAAATCAGAAGTAGTGAGGAACCAGCCAAGGGTCAGAGCCATGGAGGAACCATTTCCACTGCTGACTGACGTTGTCCCACTATTGAGTTTTCGAACCATGTGCATAACCTTAGCCCCTCCCCTCAAAGTATTTGCAAAATTGACTGTAGTGAGTGTGCTTGCTGGGTTAAAGACTACTGCTCAAGGAGGACTCCTCCCCACCAGAGTTTGTAGTCAATCTCACATGAGAGTAGGGTTGGAAAATACCTGGAGACTTTGGGGGTGGATCCAGGAGAGGTGGGGTTTGGGGAGGGGAAGGGCCTCAGCATGGTAAAATGCCATGGAGACCACCCTTTAAAGCAGCCATTTTCTCCAGGGGAGCTGATCTCTGTCAGCTGGAGATCAGTTGTAAAAACGGGAGATCCCCAGGCCCCACATACATGAGAGTATGGTTGTCTGGTCCGTTGGATGAGCAGGCAGGGGATGGGGGTGCACTTACTGGGAGCAGGGAGGGAAGAAGCCAGAAATAAACCCAATGTAGGCATGTTGAGGATGTCAGGGGCGATGCGCCTACGTCACCCAGAAGTAATGTCGGGACGTCAAGGGTGACACTCTGGTTTGTGGGCAAAACCTCTATGGTAAAATTAGCTTCTTACCATAGAGTTTTGCCCCAAAACCAGAGAGTCACCCCTTATGACCGACGTCACTTACAGGTGATACACGCGCATCATGTTTATTTTCGGTTTCTAGCCTGTTTTTTTTGGGGGGGGGTAATTTCCTCCGGTTCCTGATAGCCTTGAAGTGGGGGGCCCCTCCAAACTGGGGGACCCTACATGACAGAAAACATCCTTTCCAATTCAAATTCAAAATATCCCATTCAAAATAAAGCAATCAAACAGCCTAGGGTTCTCTAGCTCCAGGTGGGGCCTAGAGATCTCCCAGAATTGCAACTGATCTCCAGACTAAAGAGAACAGTTCTCCAAGAGAAAATGGCTGCCAGGGTGGCCTGTATGGCATTATACCCAGCTGAGGTCCTTCCCTATCCCAGGTTCCAATCCCAGATCCCAAGGAATTTCCCAACCTGGAATTGGCAACCCTAAGTCAGCCCTCTAAGCATGAACAAAATTCACCCAAAGAACTTTTTACTGGTCAGAGATTTCTGCTCATGCTTCTTGAAGTAAGCTCACACATTTTAAGCAGCAAGCAGAAGGCTTGAAACCAACCTCCATTTTGTGATTGGTCATGCCTCCCAAGGCGGCCATTTTGTAATAGCACCTGCTGCCTCCCCCCCCACCACAATTCCAAGAGCCCACAGGTTCAATAACTGTTGGGTGATAGTGAGATATTGAAAAAATGGTATTTAGCAGAGATAAGATAGTCCAGCAGAGCCTGAGTAAAATAATTCAGACTGAGAGAGTCCATGTGTGATTAAAATATAAAGTTTTTACTACATTCTAGCATGGGAAGGGTATCTGGGATGAAAATAACAAAAGAGCATAGTCGGCTACATCCTTACACTACAAAGACAACAAAACTAGAAGAGAGAGATTATGGCTGCTCTTCTTCTTCTTGAGAACACCAAACAAAGACGGGAAGAGAAGTCAAAAAATGGTAATATACCTTGACACTTTAGTCCCAATCAAATCCCTAGATCAGGGAGAAAATTCCCGGGCATTCCTACAGCTAAAGAACATTGGTTACATGAGAAACATGTGACTTCCTGTGAGTAACATAAACAAACATTTAACCCCAGACATACTGAGTGTTTTCAACTTGTAATACCCAACAATAACTTAGATTTTTGTAACTGTCTAATTAAAAACTAAGCAAGTTTATTTCAGATGCATGATATGCATATTTAATATAGCAATTTGTTAGTCATTACCGCATGAAATAGGGTTAGTTACTACCTCAGATATGCAGATGATACCACTCTGATGGCAGAAAGTGAAGAGGACCTAAAGAGCCTCTTGCTCAGAATAAAAGAGGAGAGCGCAAAAGTGGGCTTGAAGCTCAACATCAAAAAAACTAAGATCATGGCATCCGGCCCCATCACTCCTTGGCAAATAGAAGGGGAAGTCGTGGAAGTAGTGACAGACTTCACGTTCCTGGGATCCCAGATCACCGCAGACTGTGACAGCAGCCATGAAATTAAAAGACGCCTGCTCCTTGGGAGGAAAGCGATGGTGAACCTAAACAGCATGATAAAAAGTAGAGACATCACCCTGCCAACAAAAGTCCGCATGGTCAAAGCAATGGTATTCCCAGTAGTCATGTATGGCTGCGAGAGTTGGACTATAAGGAAGGCCGAGCGCCGAAGAATAGATTCTTTTGAACTATGGTGCTGGAGAAGACTCTTGAGAGTTCCTTGGACTGCAAGGAGATCAAATCAGTCAATCCTCAAAGAAATCAACCCTGACTGTTCCCTGGAAGGCCAGATAATGAAACTGAAGCTCAAATACTTTGGCCACCAAATGAGAAGGGAGCACTCACTGGAGAAGACCCTGATGCTGGGAAAGATTGAAGGTCAAAGAAGACGGGGACGGCAAAGGATGAGATGGTTAGACAGTGTCATAGATGCAACGAACATGAAATTGAGCACACTTCAGAGGACGGCGGAAGACCGGAAGGCCTGGCGGGAGCTGGTCCATGGGGTCGCGAAGAGTCGGACTCGACTGTGCGACTGAACAACAACAACTCCCTTGCTACTATATTCCTAGAATTGGCAGGGGGGGGGGGAGATTCAGTAGAATCACAGAAAGACCATCCTGTCCTGTTCCTTGGCAAAACAATCTATCCCACAGTCTTCCCCCCTGCCCCATCAACCTGTGCAGTTTAGACCACAGTATTTCCCAGAGAGCCGCAGGTGCTCAGGCCAGCAAAAAAGGCTCTGGCATTGTGTATGCACAAAGCAGTCAAGTGCTGGCTCCAATTTTATCTGCTTCACAGTTCCAAAACAGCAAGAAAGATACGATTGTTGAGAATACCCAGAACGGTGAGCACAAAAGAGACATAAGAAGAATGTGACCATTGGGAAATCCTGGCCAGAAAGATAAGAAATCATACGCCCATAGACTGCAAAACTCATTCACAAGTCTGCCACGGTGGTAAAGCAGTACTAAGCCAAGGACCATTGGAATACCACAATACTGGGTGTTCGGTGCTGTGGTAACAATGTGTGATCCTTGAAGCACATCACACAGACCTTAAGCTCTTCCACAATTATTACTTTCAGCCAGTACTAGATTCTATGGTGAGGGGCTCTGTTTTGTTCTGGGGCCCTACAGCTCTCTGATTTGTGTTAGGTACCAAAAAAACTGCAGCACTGACATATTTTAGTGCTCCTGCTTCTGTTAAGAAATTAGTTTCTTAGGTTAGAAAAGAATTACTTTCTTTGACTAAGGCTTCGTGCTTTTCTAATGTGACTTGGTAATAATGTGCTTCAGAAAAATGAGCTATCATGACAATGCAGTTAAGAAAGTGAATTATGACCCAGGAAGGTTCTTCCTCCTCAGTCTGCTTCTATCTGCTACATAGAATCATACTGGCCAGAACTGAGATAATATATATAAATGCCATGTATATAACTATTAAATATGATCATGCAGGTGTCTCATGCGCTAACAAGATGACTAGGCAGACCAAGGTGGTCAGGACAATTAATTTCTCTTTACCCAGGTGTTTAACTATGGGGTTCCATCTTTTTCAGTTACTTTACTCTGCTGCTCACCTGAGGACTGTTTATCAATGCCATTTTAGACTGCAGTTTTTAATGACATGTTTTAATGAGTTTTCATTGGCTTGTTTTTATTGGTGTTATTTGCTTTTATTGACCTTGTTGTTTTGATTGGTTTTGTTTTACTGTTGTAGTTGTGAGCTGCCTCAAACACGTCTGGAGAATGAGGATACATATTTTCTAATTCAATAAAAGATGTCATCCTCTGTTCATCCTGCTTATGTTTTCTTCTGCTTTGCTGCACCATTCCCAAACATGGCTTACTATGACCTGTTTGGAAAGACTGCAGTCAAGGCAACTTTGGATGCCATACGGCCATGAAGGACCTGTCCACAGTTTGCAAGTCATGGCCACATTTGGTGCAATTTTCCTTACCTCTGTCCTGTAACTGCCACCTCCACCTCCCCTTTTATGGCTTTAAAAATATTGATAACTGACATATTGCTTTAGCATGATAACTTTATTTAAAACAGTCTGTTACAACAGGGCACTCATTCCCAGATTTCTTTTCTTTTTTTAAAAAAAGACATCTCTAGCTCTTTTCAGTGTGAAATTATAAGGGGAAAGGTATAACTCCACAACAAAAGGGGCTACTTAAAAAAATGAATGATGGAAACTAGTGGATCATGGCAGTAGATCATTGTAACTTTACAACCTAAAATTCCTAATTTTGTAAAGAAAGCCTGAGAAAATTCCTCTAGATTGTGTATGGAGGGGGGGGGGGCGCTGCAGTGGCTGAGGTGTGGAAAGTGTGGGGGAAACAGCTGTGTGGATGCACCATTGCAGAATCGTCTCCTAGAGAAAGAAGCCCCAGAAGCAACCACAGGATTCCAAGTAAAACAAATGTATGTGCACACTGCCACCTACAGCATGGTCCTTAAACAGCAATTTTGCCTTGACTTTTAATACTTTTTTTAAAGGGTTCAAGCCTGCCTTTCCACCAATTAATCACCAAGACAGCTGATACACAACTTTAAAAAATCAAAACAAAGCAAATTAAAACAAGAAACAGCAGCTATAAAATGATGAAACCAAAGTCCCTGTTATTTCACATCAACAGCTCTTGCAAACAAATTTACCCAGCACCTAAAAATAATCAGAGTAGGCACCTAGCCAAATGCTTCTCAGAAGGGACTTCCATAATCAGACCCAAGCCCACCTCCCGGAAAGGCCCCGCACTTCGTGGCCAGTCCCCTACTCTCTGGAGGCAAGGGCACCCAGAGCAAGACCTTCCGCGACCACCTCAGCAATCAGGTTCCTACAAGTGACCCTTCAGCACTTTCAGAATATCTTCATTATGTTGTATGATAATTTACTGCTCACCCTCTCTACCTATGTGCAATGTTCCCTCTAAGCTGTGGAGTCTTGTGAGCAAGAATTGTACCTTGTGAGCTACTGGCATTAAAGTGGTGAGCCAGCAGTTTGGCTGCTGCATACATTAGTTTGCTCTGGAGCCCTCCTTCCTGAGCAGAGACAAAAATGTGTGAGCCGGAGGGTAGAAAATTGTGAGCTAGCTCACACTAACTCAGCTTAGAGGGAACACTGCCTATGTGTATGTACAGTATTGGTAATTTCCATTTTTGTTTCGGTCTCTTGTCTTGACTCAAATTGGCCCTTCCTGGCAACTAACCTCCCCCCCAGCTATATGTAATGGCTGAGGAAATTGTGCTTCACTCTCTGGAGTCCGTGGAACCACCCCCCCCCCCCCCCCGCCATATGTAATGGCTGAGAAAATTGTGCGTCACTGTATCTGGAGAAGTGTGCATGCACACAAAAGTTTATACCTTGAATAAAACTTTGTTGGTCTTAAAGGTGCCACTGGACTCAGACTTTGTTCAGAACCAACTGTTAGCTACTGAAGTTTCTAACGCTCTGGAGTACTAGGCACAGAACTGTATAGTCGTGTATCTGCCATGCAGCTGCTTTGCACAGTTAGCACCCCAGTTAAGACATTGTGAGAAGGCGGCCAAGTCCCACAGAAGACTGATTTTTGCCTCGCCCGCATCCAGGCTGGCCCGAGAGAGTGTCCTGCAGCTTTGTCTCTTTCTCTTCTCCCGAGGGCTCAGCGGGAATGACAAGGAAAGCCCGACGTCCTGGCCTACTGCGCTGAGGCAACCTGGTTGGCCCTGTCTCAATGAAGCCCCGACTTTTTGACACTTTGTCGGTCTCAGCCCGGCCATCCCAAAGTCATCACTGGCCTCTGCCAGAGCCAATCAAATACTCTTTTAGCTTTTCGGTACCCCGTTCGCCCCGCTAGAAATGCCAAATCGCGAATAATTTCAGTTCCTGCGGAACGGGCTGCTGCAGACCTTAATGCGCCGTCTGACCAAAAAGGAGCGGGTGCCATCCAACCCACCAGCGGAAGGGACGCGACAACCAAGCATCACCGGCGCGAACTGGTTTGCTTTCAGTCCCAATCTAGCTGGGCGCAAAATGCTCGCTTCCCAAGTGCGCAGACGGGCTGTGTGTCCCGCCCCAGACTTATTCCTTAGCAAGGCGAGGGGTTCCCTCACCCCACGAGGCAGGCCTCGTCTTGCGCGGGGCGGCCCTGGTAAAAGCCACCGGCCTCTGACAGCAGCAGCTAGTGTTCCCCCCATGGAAGCGCAGCCGTTTTGGTTTCGCATTATTTTTAATGGGTTTACGCAGGAGTAACACAGAACGCTGCGTGACAGCACCCCCCCCCCCCAACACACAGCCGGTCACCCCGGCTCTTGACAACGCCGAAACGCCCAAAGGGGCGGAGCTTCTTAGAGGGGGACTTCCCACCTTCTGGGTTCGAAGACGCAATCAGATGACGAAGAGTCGCTGCGCAGTCGCACGTGGAGCAATAGGAGAGTTTGCCGGTCGGGTGAGTTTGGAGTCGGGGAATGAAAGTGTGGCCGTAGGGAGGACGGGCCTGACAGTGAAATGGAGGACGAAAGACGTCGCTCTAAACTGTAGTTTAGTATATTGGGTTGTGGGGATTATTATTTCTTCTCTGGAATCCCAGCGTCCTTAGCTGCTCCGATATTTTCCATCGACGGCCATTAGCCATGATAAGTAAATGGCGCCTCCGTGTACAGAGGCAGTGTGCTTCTGCAAACAAGATGCTAAGGGCAAACAGTGGAAGGAGGGCTGTTGCCTTCCTTGCTGTGGGCTGACCCAGTAGGGTGCCTTAACTTCTTAGGTATGCTGAATAAGGCGGACTTAGCCCTACAGACCTTGTGAACTGCATTAAGAACTTTCCCCAAAGGGTTTTGGATTGAATATGTAGAGCAATCCTTGTTCTTTGTACTGCCGAATTGTTTGACATGGCCTTTATGAACGTGATTTTAACGTGTACATATCGTTCAGGATCTCCAGATGTTAAGGCTAAATACACGATGTGATGGGGAAACAAATGCACAACCTAGCTATGAAGCAGAAATGTGCCACAGCTGGTTCGAATAAAGATCTAGGGATCGTCTGTTTTAGGAACTCCCTTCTCCCATCCGGGTTCCTAACCCCTTCTTTGCATCTTCTCTGTTTCAAAAGAAGCCAGTACCACAAAAGCACAGGACTTCCAGAGTGCTTCCACTGTGTAATGACTTGCCCCCTAAAGGCCTATCTGGATCCTGTGACTTAAAAAAATCTGTGTTGTAATGACAGTGATTACTTTATCATTTACAATGTTTAGATTTTTAGAAGTTCTGTGACTTGTAGATTCTCGTCTCAATCCCAAGGATTGGATTAGGCAAACCACTATTTCACCTCTCCCCATCAGTTTGAGACTAATGCTGTCCAACCTTATGGGGTAGTTTGTAAAGACTATTGCTGTTTATATATTTAACATCATTCATACCTGCCTTTCTCCCCAGTGGGAACCCAAAGCAGCTTACATCATTCTCCATTTTATCCTCACAACCCTATGAAGTAGATTTGGCACAGAGTAGGTGACTTTCCCAAGGCCACCCAACAAGCTTCCATGGCAGACTAGGGATTCTCAGATCCTAGTCCAACACCCTCACCACTAACACCACACTATGATTAGTGAATGCATCTTTTGCTCTGACTCCCAGTGACTAGAACCTATGGGAGTGGATTTTTTGCCACATCATGTTTTTTGCCCTATTATGACAGACTTTTCTAGGAGATTTCAAATGACTGCTTTTATTTAATGGTCAACCAAATTAACATTTCCACACTTATACCCATTGTTTTCATGTCTGCTCTTTACCTAAGTAACAGCTTGGAGACTTAATTTTGTGCATGCTTGTTGATAAGTACCATTTGGTTTAACTGGGCTTACTCCAAGAATGTGTCCATACACCTGTGGCCTTAGTTGCACAAACAATTCAAGGCACTCTTAAATATATTTGTTGCTACAATAAGGAACATGGTCCTGAATGGCTGAGCAGCAGTAAACAAAAAAATGAAATTTACTCTTAACATTTTAGGCAATGGGCAAGAACAAAGGAAAAGGACAGAAGCAGAAGAATGTATTCCACGTGGCCAACAAAAACATCACAAAGGCAAAAAGTAAAGCAAAGGCAGTGACAACCAGTTTGAAAAAGGTTAATACTGCAATATTAGTGAACATCTTTGTATTCCTTTGTATTCTTCATGGAGGTCACTGGAATCTTACTTGGTCAGTGCTATGCTTGTTTAATGGAATCTACCCTATTACATACATATACCGGTAGGCAAAGTGGTAAAGTACCAATGAACTCCCCCTCCCCCCAGCTAATCTTGATTCTTTCCATGATGCTGGAATTGGGAGAGATACTCAAAATCGAATTTTAAAATAATAATCTCTCTCTTAAAATTTCCTCTATGGGAGTGAAAATGTATGCTGCTATTCTTACCTGGATCAGCTCTTATCTTCCCTCTCTAAAAAAGTACCTGACATTATCAGTTAATCAGCTGTTAAGCAGTACAGGTGTGGCACAGGAAAATTATGTGCACGCTTGAACCTAAATATGGGATTTTGTATGTTTTGTATGCATAATGAAATGGATCTCTTAGGGAGAAATCTTTTGTTTGCATCTCTTTCAATGGCTAGTCACAAATGGAGAAAAATGGCTTTTCAGAATGGAACAAATTATGTAAAGTTATGCTAATTTTGCATGTTTTGTGAGGAGTGACCCTTTCTCAGAGTAAGTAATGAGCACAGCCATGCTATAGAACTGCCTCTCTTGGTGACCTGCATTTTTATTCTCTTAAACTCCTTACCCATCCATTGACAAGTCTGTTAGGAAAGGTCACATTAAATATGTTTCCTATTTAGAGTCTCTTATAGTTGTTTTCATGTTCATGTATAAACGTTTTATGTCTTTTCTTTTCCCAAAGATCAATATAGTGAATGATGAAAAGGTTACGATGGTAAATAAGATATTTACAGAAGTACAGAAAGAAGTCAAGCAGTTATCCAAACCCGTTTCATCAGATCCCCCCAAAAGGCATCTGGTAACTTCATTAACTTGTATTATTTTTTAAAAAATCTATGATTTTTGTCTTTTTGTTTTTAAAATGCTTCTGTCTCCCCCCCCCCCCCCCCCCGCTCTTCCCCCCCCCCCCCCCCCGCTTTAAATTTAGATTCCAAAGTCCCCGGAAAGAGAAGCAACTAATGTGGATGCTGCTACCAACTTACTGTCTCAGTTGTAGTATTAAATGTCTGGACTCTAGTACCCCATTTCCTGATACATCAGCAAACAACATTTTTGTATACCTTTTATTTTTTAAAAAAATCTTGTTTATATACAGGCATTGGCACTCTTCAATACAACCTACAAACGGTTTCCCTAAATCTAGGAATATGGAATGTCAGTCTTTTTTAAAAAGGGGAGGTAGGGAGGGAGAAGGACAAATTTAAAGTGCTAATAAAAAGGCACCCCACAAAATGCATTCAGTGGACCAATGCAGCATTACCTAGCTAATGCCCTTCATTTTACAATTGGCAGTGAAAAATCAAATAAAACAAAACGGGCCAAAATTTTAGAATGACTGCAGAGGGTTTCCAAATGGCAAGGTATGAATAAAATGCAGTACTGTCTAGATTATTTTACTAGCAATTTTCAGTTTACCTGCACTGCTGTGATGCATGTGCAAAAAGCCACTTGTATTTTATTGACTTTAGAATTTTCTTAGCATAACAATTTAAGAGGGAAATGGTGTTGGTGAGTTATCAAAATCTTACATTCATTATTGTAAGCGTGTGTTATGAAACAGTCTACAATCTTACATAGTTAGGAGGTAGATGAGGCACTCTGGCTGCATTGAAATCTAATAGTTCAGTATCTGCACATCAAAGAGATCACAGACTCCTTCACTGTCATCCAAGTTGAAGCTGTAGTCATCGCCAGGAGTAGGGGAGAGTCGCAACAGTGGAAACACTATGGAACAAAAAAGTATCTTAATTCAAAGTGTAATTGGGCTCCTGTACCTTCAAGTGGCTCAGTGGTTAAGACGCTGAACTGCAGACTGGAAGGTCGGTAGTTCAGCAGTTCGAGATCTGAGTGCCGCATGACGGAGTGAGCTCCCGTCTCTGGCCCCAGCTCCTGCCAACCTAGCAGTTTGAAAGCAAGAAATTGCAAGTAGATAAATAGGTACCGCTTCGGTGGGAAGGTAACAACGTTCCGTGTGCATCAGGGTCTAGTCATGCCGGCCACATGACCACGGAAATGTCTTTGGACAGCGCTGGCTCTTCGGCTTGGAAACTGAGATGAGCACCACACCCTAGAGTCGGATTCAACTGGCTTTCAAGCAAGGGAAAACTTTACCTTCAAGTGCCAGCCACTTCCACAGACTGTATCGATTTGAATGCTCTAAACTATTCTACTGTTACCTCAGCCATATTTCTGAAGGTGCATGAGGATGTTAGTTTGTGGAAGATCTATCCTGCTGTATGCAACAGATGGAAGCTAGGGATCATAGCGACTTTGTTCAAAACAGTTACCTATTTTTTCTTTAAAGGGGGTATTGATCATGGTATGACTTTTTTGTTGTCCTAATGAGATGACAGTTTAGGTATGCATTGTTTTTTAAAAAAGAAAACAACCTACAACAAAGACAAACTTTAAATGAAGTATCAAGGCAAGTAGTCTTCCTGCAGGAGCATGAACGGGGGAGACATGTAAACTAACTGTCAAAATGAACCAGTGAAATCAATTAGATAAGTGGCTTGCCTTGAATGCAGCCACTGTGATTGTTAGTGTTCTAGGATTCAAGTTAAGAATCACTGGTTACTTATGAACTTCATTGGGTAGCCTTGAGCAAGAAACTTCTTAGTGTAATCTTATCACAGAGATGCTACAAGGACAAGGGTCAAACAACACGTCATGCAGCAGATCTGCAAGGGTAACAATCTTTTACCCTCTACCTGTATTGCTTCCCTCCAATCTTATTTAAACCCCCATTTATGCCCACCTATCCCTGCCAACCTAGCAGTTCGAAAGCAAGAAATTGCAAGTAGATAAATAGGTACCACTTCGGTGGGAAGGTAACAGCGTTCCGTGCACCTTGGTGTTTAGTCATGCCGGCCACATGACCACGGAAATGTCTTCGGACAGCGCTGGCTCTTCGGCTTTGAAACGGAGATGAGCACCGCAACCCTAGAGTCGGATTCGACTGGCTTTCGAGCAAGGAAACCTTTACCTTTTTATAAAACAAGAACTCTTTCTCCCTCTCCTACTATGGGAAATATCCCTGAAGAGCTCTTTCTCCCTCTCCTACTATGGGAAATATACTATTTCTGTGTTCAGGGGAAAGGGTCAGGGTTGCTCTGGCACCATTTTGCCAATAAAACTCGATGCCCTTTGCAACTTCTTTCAAATAAAAAAAAACATCAGATAATCCAGTCTTAGTTTTGCTCTGGGAGCCTCAAGCTGCGATCCTGAGGAAGGGAAATGGACAAATGTGATAAATAATTCTGTGTTGTAATACTTCAAACACAGCATAATTGACAAGGTTGAAAGGCTTTGTCAGTTATATAGATAATATTCAGGATGAAAGAAGCACTTGCTCTGGCTAGTACAATGGGAGAAATTGTTCATTTACTGCTACAGAAACTCTCCATTTACCTGTTAGTAATTGAACACACATGAAGCTGCCTTATACTGAATCAGACCCTTGGTCCATCAAAGTCAGTACTGTCCACTCAGACTGGCAGTGGCTCTCCAGGCTCTCAGGCAGAGGTCTTCCACATCACCTTCTGCCAGGTCCTTTTAACTGGGGATGCCAGGGATTGAACCTGGGACCCTCTGCATGCTAAGTAGATGCTCTACTACTGAGCCACAGCCCTTCACCTTCTGCTGTGTCTTTCTAAACTTGGAACTGGTATTTCAAGAAGAATGCTATGGGTATTTTCCAGTGGGCTATCTTACAATCTAGCGACTGTTTCCTCTTCCATTTTAAAAAAACACAACTAAATTAGGACTTGATTCTGCTTCAGTATGCCACTATTCCTGCTTACTGATTCGTGCAGCAAGGAGATCCAGAGCTTGGGCCATAGTGATGGGTGTGCAACAGCTACTGACGAAAGAACAAAAAAAAGTGTGTGTGTTTTTGATCACACACTTCCTGGTCCATTCTAGTCAGTGGCACCCCATCAGCGTTTGCAGTGAGGACAGACTGGAAGCATTCAGATACCATTTTGTTGCTGAGGGAAGGATAGGAGATATGGAGGAGAAAAAAGGTAATATCTGGCCACTTCAGTGAATCCTCATTCAAACACCAGGGGGAGCTGGAAAGTAGCATGAAGTTACTGTTGGACTACTGTATTTTGTAAGGTGAGCCTGAGTCATTGCACTTATTAGGAATGGAAATATGAGAAACTTACCATCAGAGGACATCAGTTCATCAATGATATCACTGTTAATTATGCCTACAAGCACAAAAGCAAATTATCACTTTTCATAAAAATGTCAAATTAGATACTGCTTTCCAGTGATGCTCAGCACTTCAGGACACTATTAACCCACCCCCCTCTCTTCTCCCCATCCCACAAATCCCCATAAAAAGAACAGTCTAGTTCACCTCCAGGCTCATCTATCTTTGCTATATCAAATGAGTTGGGCTTGAGGATACTATTGACATCCAGCGGAAGGAAGGGCTGACAGGTATTTGAGCTCGGCGTGGTTTCTGTTACAAGACTGTCATACAGCTCAGAATCTGGAATGCTGGCATAAAGAGTTTCAGGAGCTGCATTCTCTTGAGAACTTCTATCTATAACAATAGATAGTTAATATTAGAAAACAGACATGGTATCCCTAAACCACAGACATTTTGCCATACCTTTTTTGATACAGGGCAATTCATTACCAGACAATTTTGATACAGAGCAATTCATTACTATAGCTTTTGTGATACAGGGCATATCAGTATTTATCAAAGAGACAGAAGTGAGAAAGATATAAAAAAACTGGAAATTTTGAAGCCGCAGAAAACCAGTTTGGGAGGAGGGGGTTAGGAGGAAACTGAAATGTATGCAGTACTTAGTTTCCTGTCAAGCCTAAACTTACTTTACTGATTTAATAACTTAAAATGTTGATTTTAAAATATTCATTATATTGCAACTTAGTATATAAAATTATACTATGTCAAATTTATGGAATTAAAGTATAAATATCTTGCTTTTCTGTTAAAAAAATATATATAGCCAATACTTGAGAAAGTTGTAAATGGCTGCACCCTGTGCTACCTTAGCAAATGTAAGTTAACTTTTGCTATCTAAGGGGTATGGAAGGCAAAAGTTGAAGGTAACCCCCCACACACAAATTATTAGTTACATTATTTGACCAGAAAGAGGAATACCAGCATACCTGTATATCATGTTAAACCATGTAACATTAAAACTGATGAAATCTTTTTGATAAAATATGGATTATGTTGGGAGAACGAACTATTAAAAATTTATATAAATACCTGCTAGATGCCAAAACGCAGGAAGAAGTTGTGAGGTTGAGTATGATAGCATGGAATAAAGACTTAGGGTATAATATAGAGTTAGACAAATGGATGAGGATATGGGATACTAATATGAAAATTACAAGGTCTACCTCCTTTAAAGAAAATATCTACAAAGTGGCACTCAGATGGTACTTATACCCAGCTAGATTAGCAAAATATTCTAAGACAACATCTAATACAGTGTTTTCCCGAAAATAAGACACTGTCTTATATTTATTTTTTCTCAAGAAGACACACGGGCTTATACCACAAATGCATAGAAATCCTGCTAGGGCTTATTTTTGGGGTAGGTCTTATTTTCGGGGAAACAGGGTATATGCTGGAAATGCAGACAGAATGTAGGCACCTACTTCCATATGTGGTGGGCATGTAGCAAAGGAAAGGAGTATTGGAAGATGATAGGTAAAATGTTAAAGGAAATTATGGGGGTTTCAATACCTTTAAAACCAGAACTATTTTTACTTAATATGGTTCCAGAGATATATGGAAAAGATGAGAAAAACTTGATATTACATTGTATAACAGCAGCCAGAATATTATTTGCTAAGTACTGGAAGATGGAAAAAATACCAGATAGGATAGAGGTTATACAAAATTATTTGAAGTTGCCGAAATGGATAAGATGTCATGTAGATTAAAAGGGAAAGATGAATCCTTTTTTGAAGGAAATTGGAGTAAATTCTATAATTGGAAACTGAGCGTGATGGGTTAGGAATGTAATTCTGTGTAAAAAGTTTAGAAGGAATGGAGGCTGTATGCTCAATCTGTTTTGATTTTGTGGAATATTTGCATGTTGGAATAAGTTTTGGAAAATCAATAAAACATTAAAAAAAAACTGATGAAATCTTTAATAAAGTTTTGCCATTAAACACATTATAGCATATCAGTTATTGCCCAAATTATTTACTTTTAAACAAGACACATTCTTGGAAATATATTGATGTCTACTGTATACACAGGTATTTATCTAATGCTGCGGACTGTCTTAGAAAAAAAAATTCACATGACACATTTTGAGTAAAACTGCACTCCTTAGGTGGAAATCATTGCATCCATGGAAGTGCCCCTTAAGATCTAAGTCACTGCTGTACTCTACTTTTCCAGCTTATATTTGCAATGGGAAAGTCTGTACACCTACCTGCAGGCATATCTGTGACTGGTGTCTGTGGAAGGGATTGACCCTGACTAGTTTCTTTATCCTCTAGTAAATTCTGAGGAGAGTTCAGTTTAGGAGAAGTCAATGGAACCACAGCTTGAGAAAGAGGTTGAATGAGGTCATCTGGTGGAGGAACTGGAAAAACCACTGGCTTAGAGGAACTGGATTCTTTATTGATGAGCAACACATGGATAGGCCCTGAGTGACTGTTTAAATTGATCTGGTATTTTTTCTGGCCCTTGAGGAAGAAAAGACATTGAAAAGTAAAAGTACAATCCTTTATGGAAACAGAAGTAGATATTAAGCCAAACAGCAATGCAGGCAAAATGACATCCCTAAAGAATCTGGTAGCAAGTTTCATACTAAAGCACTGTGCTAGAAGCATAAAAATCTTATATCTATATATCTAATAGCCAAGTTGCCCCCTTCATGTGGATATCTAAATCCACACATCAGGAGCACTTGGGCGGCAGAGAGATTTTCCTGCACACTTGGGGCAGTCCCCGGGTGTGCAGAAAAATCTAAAATGTTTTAAAAACTGTACGGAGGATGTTTAAATCCCCCCAAAAGTAAAAAGCATTCTCTGCACATGCACAGAGAACGCTCTGGGAACTCTGCGGCAGGCCTAGCGGCTGGGAGGCACTCAGGCTTCGCTGCCGGTGCCCGGGGGGGGATTGCCAGGCCCTGCAGTTGGGAGGTGCTCAGGCCTTACCGCCGGTGCCCGGAGAGGGGGAGATCGGCGGACTCGGTGGCTGGGAGGCGCTCAGGCCTCGCTCAAGATACAAAATCATTGACCCCACCCTCTTTGTAGAGCCTTTCCCCCCCACAATGGGCCTTATTCCTAGTTAAATACATAAAGCATGAAACTAAACAGCTTGCAGAAGCATGAATCTTTCTATTATACTACAACATATACTTTTAAGGAGTGCAGAACAGCATCTAGCTACTATTTTGTGTCCAATTTGTTATTTAGATCTAGCCCAAAAGTGTGTTAAGTTTTCTCCTCTGTTCCATTCATTTAGCATGCAAACTAAGAAATTCAGCATTGTTACAGGGCATTAAAGAGAGGAAATGCTGTGAAAATAGTTGTGTCCACTGAATTCACACCCGTAGGGATGGTAGACCCATTAAGATAATCCACCCCAGGCACCTGATTGATCCCAATGGTTTCATATCAGCGCTTGGGGATTTCCCCACCACAGCTGCTGATGAGTCTGTCAAGGTCCTGATCACTCTCTGCAATTGGAAGATGGCCTGGGCTGTTGACACAATAGCCTCTAAGCTCTCACCTCATCTGGACAGAGCCAAGCAATCTCCCTGGGTTACCAGCGAACATGGCATAGAGCCCATATTAGAGCCTATTCTGTGGCAGTGATGACAGTGAAAAGGCAATATTTCTCCACCACCGCTGCATCTGTATGTAATTGTCCAGCTGGGTTGTTTCATATGGTTCAGGGGCTTTTACATCACAGCCCCAGGGAACCGGATTCTGACCACAACGCCAGCCTGCTGTGATAATTTTACTACTTATCCAGCAGACAAAAATCACCCAGATCTGCTCCGGGTTAGATGCAGGTGTAGATGCATGTTCAGACAATGTACCTTTGGTCCCTGTTTGTGTGATTTGTATGGATACTTTTCAGCTTGTGGAGGCCAAGGATGTGGACAAGATCTTTGGACATATGAGTCCTACCACCTGTGTTCTTGACTCTGGCCCTTCCTGGCTGATAAAAGCTACCAGAGGGGGGCCAGCTGAATGGGTAAAGGGTAAATGCTTCCTTGAGGGTGGCAGTTGAACCACCCGTGCTCAAGGAGGCAGTGATTAGGCCTGTTCTGGAAAAACCCCATAAAGCTTGTTGGAGAACTTCTGGCCAGTCTCCAATCGACCATTCTTGGGCAAGGTGCCTGAGTGGGTAGTTGCTTCTCAGCTCCAAAGCCTGTTAGAAAAGACTGTTTTGGTCACCTTAGCTGATGACTTCTACCAAAAACTAGACAGGGGGAATGTGATCCTGCTAGTTCTGCTGGATCTCTCAGTGGCCTTTGATACTACCAGCCATTGTATCCTACTAAGCCGCCTCTCAGCACTGGAGCTGGGGGGCACCATGTTATGGTGGTTCAAGTCCTATCTATATTATCTGTAATAAAATTGTATGCATTTTATTAATATTGTATACTGCCTTGAGCTCTGTAAGGAAGAAAGGCTGCATATAAGTATTTTAGATTAAATAAAACCAAATCCTCTTATTCTTTCCAAATGTTGCCAGTGAAGCGTGTTATGATCAAATGGAATTTGATGGAGCAGTCATCATCAGCAAATATTTAGTTTATTATTAATAATTTAATGGAAACTTCAGCAATGAAATTCATTATTTCATTCAGTAATGAAATGTCTTCAATCCCAGATAAACATGAAAAGACTACCTTAGAATATAAAAAGAACTACACATATTCTTTCACATTATTGTAAGCCCTAGTAATTAAACAGCTCAGAAATCAAAACCCAGACACTGCTTGGCATCAACATCACAGGCCAGATCCTACAGCTGCACTCCACTAGCAGAGGTGTTTTCCTTCAGTAAAAGGAACCTTTCCCTGACACAAGGTGCTCCTGGCCAGCTGAATGGATATACAGGACACAACCCATTTTTTATTACATGAACAAGATTAAAACAGCTTCTTATACATACCAGATGAGGTACAGGTACTTCTAATTGTGTGCCGGAAGGTGCCTGAATTGCTAGAAGTGTATCCCCTGATTATGGAGCAATTGTAACATTTTAGTTGCATGCATTTAACCATGTAAGATGTGCCAGAACATAATATCTACATAGCCTCATATCATGAGACTGAATTCCCATTCATTTTCCTTTGTCAGAAAAGTTCTATCACACAACAAAACAAAAACATGGACAGTGTCTAGTCAATGTTGCCCATAAATACAATGTATACTTTTACAAAGATAACTCCTATGTGATCTTAATTCTGGCATTTCATGTCTGTGATTTACCACCCCCAAGCCAGAGTTGCCATCTTCTTGTCTATGCTTTCTCACAGAGCAGTGGTCTGGCCACCATATCTAGCTCTTCTGTTCAAAGGGGTGGTCTGATTTAAAACAAAGTAGAGCATGATGCGTCTGAGTAGAAGAAACTGGTCCTCCGCTAAAGAGTTTCTGAAGATCGTTTATGGCAAGGCAGGGGTCCTCCCATCTCTGAAAATCAATTTTGAGAGACAAATTGCTCAGATTCTGTTTCAATCACCAGCTGAGTGATTAGAATACTGCTAATAACCACATAGCTATGGTGTCCTAGCAGCAAGCACAACTGGCTTTTCCCAAATAACATTTAGAATACACCAAGTTTTTCAATAACTTACCATTGAAGCAGTCACAAATATCTTCGTGAGTGATATATGAAAAAGTGGCCTGTGTCAAGGGCAAAATGGAAATCTTCAGGAGCATTTTTTACAAAGGGATTAGAAAAGTAATACAATGGAACAGCTCAGGAGGTTGCATCTATAAGGTTAACACTGCAGAGTGTTGCAGTGTTTATTGTATGTATCACCTCTCTTCCTTTATTGCAACGTCCCCTACCTCCCTTTTCGAATGCCATGCCTTAGACAGTTTTTGTTGCCCTAGGCACCTTTTATTTACAGTTTTTCAGTCTGTACTCCTACACTTACTGCACTGTTTATTGGAGGTCTTTGCTGTCTGATTAAATTACTTTTCATACTTTGTAATCCATCTTGAGTCTCAATGAGAAAGGAGGGCTACGAATGAAGTTAATGATTTTCAAAATAAACAATTACACCATATAATCAGTGATCCTAGAGTGGGACTTTAGTGTGTTCCTTAAAAGTCTGTGAGAGCAGAGTTGTTCAGTTACCGGTATTTTTCCTGGCATGGCCTGAACCAGTGCATGAAATAGCATGGTTTAAATACTTGCACATCTTACAGTGCAACCTCATGCAGAGTTACTCTAGTCTAAGCTCACTGAAGTTAGGAAGCTTGGAATGGAGTAGCTCTGCCTAGGATTGCACTGATTGGCTGCTCCAAAAAAATCTCCCTTTCCATTACTGGGCAGTGAAGGGAACAAACATAACTCCTCTATATCTGGTTGTGACAAGAGACTCCTTAGGCCAATGATGATCTATCAATGACCTTTAAGAACATAAGAAGAGCCCTGCTGGATGAGACCAGTGGTCCTCACACAGTGGCCAACCAGTTCCTCTCAACAACAGGGCATAGAGGCTGAGTCCTTCTCCCAATGTTGCCTCCTGGCACAGAGGCTGACTTCCTCTGTGCCAGTTTGGTGTAGTGGTTAAGTGTGCGGACTCTAATCTGGGAGAACCAGGTTTGATTCCCCGCTCCTCCACTTGCACCTGCTGATGTGACCTTGGGTCAGTCACAAGCTCTGGCACAGCTGTCCTTGAAAAAGAGCAGTTTGTGTCAGAGTTCTCTCAGCCCCACCCACCTCACAGGGTGTCTGTTGTGGGGAGGGGAAGGGAAAGGAGTTTGTAAGCCGCTCTGAGACTCCAAGTGAAGGGCGGGGTATAAATCCAATCTCTTCTTCTTCTTCTTCCTCAGAACATGGAGGTTTCCCTCAGTCACCATGGCTAGTAGCCACTGATAGATCTATCCTCCATGAATCCCCCTTAAAGATGTCTATTCCTTTGTTCTCGCTGTAACTTGTAGTGTATTTTCCTTATATTCTACTGGACAAATCAGCAGCCTGGCAGTCAACCTAAAAACTTCTATGAGATGCTGGCAAAAAAATCTCAAACTACCAGTTAAGAAACATCACATTATCTCAAGTAATCCAGCTTCCTTTTTCTGTGTGTTTAGTTTTACTAAAGGGTTGTTCCTCATAATGCCATTTCTAAGAATTACACAGCATATGTTTAAAGGATATCTTTTATTTGTGGAGTCTTCTTTAACATTTTTAATGCTTTGCTGTAACCACAATTTCTGCTGATCCAGCTCCTTTTCTTTTAGTTCCAGATCTTCAATTTCTGCTTCGAGATACCTTAATCGATCTACGATTTCCTTTGTATTGCAGCCAGCACCTACACCTCTTTGAAAGAAACATAAAATGTAATACTATTATAAATGAGCAATGTGGATTCAAAAGGGTTAAAATAGCATAGTAAGAAGGCTATGGGCTGACTCTTACAAACCTCCAGCAGAAGGCTCCAGAAGGGTAGTCTTCTTCCTGCCTTCCCCTATCAGCCCCAAAACATAATGCCAGTCGGCTGGGTAACTCATATGGACAAACCGTCACATAACATGGGAAACTGCAGTGAGGAGGTGCAATTGGTGTAAGTGACCCTCTCTGCATTTCACAGCAGGAGAATTTAGCACTAGCAGAAACATTACCAACAAAGAGACAGGGAAAGCAATTTTGCCACGTCTCTCTCTTCACCTGTACTATAGGGTTTATTTTCCACATGGATTCCCCAGCCCCTACCATTATGTGGGGGGGGGGGGATCCAGGGGATCACAGGGGGCTGCTGCAGAAAGGATAATGTGGAAAAAAATCACTTTGACCAGTGCATAAGATCCAACCCATTAATTTCCTACAGCATTTATGCAAGAGCCAAGGCAATACTTTTTCCTTTTAAAAAAGGAACATTATCAAAGTGAGGGTGAAGCATTAGGCTTGAAAACTACAAAGTATGCCCTGAGTCAAAGTACAATGACATTTTGATTCTAAATGGAAAGCTACTAACTGGAACAATGTCTATTAGCTCCTTGTTTCTACCACTTTGATAGAATACCAGAGAGGCACTAACTTTCACAGCTCCAGCCTCATCTTATTTAACAGTAACAGCATTTTAGAAAAGACAGTTCTCTTCATGCTTCAACTACTGTTCCTCTATGTGTTACTTAAACTTGTACACAGTTATTTGTTTACCTTGATAGCTAACAATAATGTGGAGCTGGAAAGTAACTAGTGTCAAAGAGGCAAATGAGATAGGTAACTATAAAACTCACCAATTGGAATTACAACCCTAGGTATTTATTTAGAGTCCGTCTTTCTCACTGGGGCTCAAGGTGGATTACACAGAGCAAATCCTTACATTTCACAGGGTGGAATAACCAATCAACAGTGCTATAAAAATAACAGTAATAAAAGCTTTCCATGTTGCAGCACCAACATTTAATTGTACATCCATTTGTGGTCCTCCAAGCAGCCCACTAGCTCCCTCACATGATTCTCCTTATGGTCCGCCAAATCTGACTAAATGGGAAATTACCTGTAACGCCCAGTCAACTCCTCTGTGCTTCAGGTTTCCCACATGCATAAAAGGTCAAGTGGAAGGTCAATGGCCCCAATATTCCCCTTTTTGTGACCCGCCACACTCACACTTCATGCTGAAAGTTTCTAGTGCTTCATTTCCCATGATTAAATAGATTTTGCAAGTACTAGGGGATGGGCCATGGCTCAAGGGTAGAAACTCTGCTTGGCATGCAGAAGGTCTCACGTTCAGTCCCTGACATCTCCAGTTAAAATGGTCAGGCAGTAAGTGATGCAAAAGATCTCTACCTAAAACCTTGGAGAGGTACTGAGTAGTTGATACTGACCATCATGAACCAATGGTATGATTCAGTATAAGGCAGTTTCATGTATTCATGTGTACTAAAGATAATTGAAGGTTAGGATATTGGACTGAAATTAAACAACATATATTCGAGATGGCCCACTGACAGCCCATAGGGTAGCCTTGCCCTCTAAGGCAAATGTATCTGTCAGTCCTGACACATGTTAATCAAGATATGGTAAGAAGTCTGCTGACAGTTTCTCTTGCAACAACAACAAAACCACTGTTTTCAAAATTGCAAGAGATGAAGGTAATCTACACTCTATTGCAAATGTATCTGTCAATCCTGACACATGTTAATCAAGATATGATCAGAAGTCTGCTGACAGTTTCTCTTGCAACGACAACAAAACCAGTGTTTTCAAAATTACAAGAGATGAAGGTAATCTACACTCTATTGTCATATCTCTTCAGTGACCCAGGTCACAAAAATTTTCAATTAGATCTTTCCCTTCTGTAAACACAAAATTTTCTGATGCTGTATTTTTTCCATGGAAAAGTTTGATCTTTGGATATATAAATACAGTCTATTTGTAGTTGTCAGGGCTGTTGTGCTGCAGAGCAGTCATATTAGATGGGCGAAATGCAGGATATGAAGTTATGGACAAACCCCAGTTCCTGTACATGGTCCAGGCTTGTGCCCTGTGTGTTTTGTCTTCTTTTGCTAAACTAATTAGTTGAATTTGAATCACAAAAATATTCCAGAAGTTTTCACTATTCAAATTTTCCAAGAAAACTCACATTACTGCAGTTCAGGTTTTTTATGGGAGGGTTTGGGTACACTGAAGGAATGTGCCACGTAACTGTGAGTCCCTTATTATAATTACTATACAGCCCGACCTCCAAGGAAGGACTCTGTCCGTGGCAAGAATATTTCCAGTCCTTGGGTTATAGTCCTAAACCGAAAACACACAAGAAACCAAGAACAGTGGTACCCAAGATACAGAAATCTGCCATCATTGACATATATCTTTTCACAATACCAAAATGTCTAACAGTTATAAAAATCATCCAGCTTGAAAGAAACAGGTCTAACTAATTTTCTGACTGTTAAAATCGGAACATTATCTTACTTCCACTGGATGCTGTTTTTTGACTTTTTTTCAATTAGATCTATCCCTTCCAGCACATTGGTGATATCATAGATCCTCCTTTTTTGTCTTACGGCAAGAGTATCAGCAGCCTGGTAACAGAACAGAGATAAAGAACAATAAATGCAGATGAAGGGCAAAAGGGGAGAATCCTTAAACAGCTCCATTGAAGCTACACAACGTTCCTAGAGAATATTAATCACTAATCTAAAAGGGAAATCTTCCACTTGCCACTGGCACAGATGTGCAATTAGAGGTCTTGGACCACCCTCTATTTCTCTGGAGTGAGACGAGGACAGTCACCTTCAAACAAACCATCTATCAAGAATGACCTTTTCAAAGCTCACCCAGAGAATTCCCCAGCTGCCCACAACAAGGGAATAAGTTCTTTCGGAGTTAGCCATGCATGAGTCAGCATGTGAGAAGGGGAGACAGAACAAGACATGCAGTGGCACGGGGAAAAGGCTGGCATGCTTTTCATGAGCAAGGCTGGAAACAAAACGGCACATTATTCTCTAAAAATATATGACTTCAGAAAGGTCACTTGGAGGGGTGACAACAACAGTGTAATGAAGATAAGCCCAGCGCTTTTTCATTTAAAAAAATGGTGCTAGTACTCATCTATAAGGTTGCACCAATTTCCACCAATTCCCTCTCCCTCTGCAGATCTACATTATGCTGTTCGTGAGGGTCCACTCTCTTTCTCTGGCTGTGTGGGGAGGGCAGCGCACAAGGATCATGGTTTGGGAGATCCCTGAAAAAAGGTACTTCTACTCAGTGCTAATGAGTATCCTCAACAAGAACAAAAAAAGCCCTTTGTGGGTTTACTTCCATTGTATGAAAGTGGACCTTCATTGTGGGCTAGTCTGAAATAAACCAGGCTTGCCATAGCACCACAATACAAAGGGAGATGATTCAGACAGGACTTCAATAGATGGCACCACCTGTGAGGGGTAACCATGGGCTTCCTGAGTGCTGAAGACAAGGAATAGAAAAGTTGAAATGAAAAACGGAAGAGTTGCGCTCTCAATTTGTCTTACTGCACACTTAATGGGGCTGAAAGCCAACAGCAGAAGAGTTCAACATGCAACTAACTGACAACGTGATTAGCAGCCTAAGCCCCAAGCCTCAAACTTTTCTGTTGGCATGGGCCCAGGACTCTTGGCAACCAAGCAGGCTGCCTTGACCATTTGTTTTGTCATTTTCACACTGGATCATAAAGTAATACTGAAAACACCTTTTGTTTATTCAACCCTAAACAAAGGGATAGCAGCTTTGATTATTCTTGAACTTGAGAAACACATTTTCTAGCAACATTAAAAAATACAATTTTCAGAGGTAGATTCTCAGTTCCAAATCAGTTCTCAAGTGTACCTTGTTGCTGGACCATAAGCCACATTTGGAGTTATTTTGATCCAGTTTATATTCATAGACTCAGGGCAGATTAGTTTATATGCATAGTTTATATGCATAGACTCAGGGCAGATTAGTTCTCAAGTGTCCCCTGTTGCTGGACCATAAGCCACATTTGGAGTTATTTTGATCCAGTTTATATGCATACACTCAGGGCAGGTAACAGCAAAAACAAAAAATGCAAGGCTTCCTCTTCTATATACCCCATTACCACATTCCTAATCACAGAATCAATCAGTTCACAGAATCACAGAATTCATCAGTTCAATTCCAGCACAGCTCCAGCTACTAAAAAAACTAGGGAAAAGGCTAATAAACTTATCTACACTGTGAAAGCTATGTTTCTTGATACCATATTAAAAATTCCTACAAATTAACTTTTGTCCCATAAGTTTTATGCATTTGCAGAGTCTCATGCTGATTAGCAATTATTTTCCACTTTCTATTTGGACACAATCTCTGGATTTTTGGGACAGCTAAAATGAGACTCCTGGCTGTTCAAAGAAAATGAAGCACATAATATTGCAAACAAGGCTACGGATAGACTGCTTAAGGAAACCAGTTCCTGTATAGTGCAGATACAGCTCCCCCTTCCAAATTACACTGTGGAGTCACATAAATACATACATTCCCACAATGTAGTGTGGGAACTGAGCAGTCAAGGAAGCAGCAGACTATCAAGAAATGTTCACTTTTAATACTTTTTATTTATTTTTTAAAAAATTATTTATTTTTAGATTTATATCCCGCCCTTCCAACGGCTCAGGGCAGCTAACATACGGCAAAAGCCACATTAAATAGATAAAATACAATAAAACAAAGCCACATTAAAACACACAAAAAAACCATACAATATTTAAAGTGCTCTAGTCTTCCTACATATAAATCACCCAAGACGAGAACAGTGAACCCAGTGCGGCGGCCAACTGTCTCTAGCGCGGTCTCCAGTAGCACTGTTCTACGCACATTCTGCCAGGCGATAGTTGCCCTATATGATGGAAACAACAGTAGGACAATGCCACACTGGTGGAATAGTGGCGGCGGCGGCTCCTACTCAAAAGCTTGGCGGAAGAGCTCAGTCTTACAGGCCCTGTGGAACTGCACAAGGTCCCGCAGGGCCCAGATCTCCTCTGGGAGCTCGTTCCACCAGGTAGGAGCCGCCACTGAAAATGCTCTGGCCCTAGTAGGGGCAAACTTCACATCTCAGGGGCCTGAAACTTCCAAGAGGTGGAGACTCCCTGATCTTAGTGCTCTTGGGGGAACATATGGGGAGAGGTGGTCCTTTAGGTAAGCTGGACACCAGCCATTCAGGGCTTTGAAGGTGAGAACCAGCACTTTGAAGCGAATCTGGTATGCTATCGGCAGCCAGTGCAGCACTTGCAGCACAGGCCGGATGTGGTCTCGCCTAGAGAGGCCCATCAGCAGCCTGGCCGCAGCATTCTGCACTAGCTGCAGCTTCCAGATTTGCGACAGAGGCAGCCCTTAGTAAAGAGCGTTACAGTAGTCCAGCCTCGAGGTAACCGTCACATGGATCACAGTGGCCAGGTCATCATGGTCAAGGTAGGGGACCAACTGCCGAGCCAGCTGCAGATGGTAAAAGGCTGCCTTGGCAGTGGTTGCCACCTGGGCCTCCATCGTTAACGAGGGGTCCAGGAGCACCCCCAAACTCCTAACCTCCCGTGCAGGCACCAACGGCACCCCGCCGAAGGCTGGGACCCTAACCTCCCCCCCTTTATATACTTTATATA